TGTAAGTGTAGAATACGCAAAGCACAGTTTATGTAAAAGATAAGGAAAAATAAAAGGCTAGATTCTGTTTTCAGGTGGTACCCGGTGCGGCCGGCTGACGCAACCTTTGGTTCGAAGATGCCAAACGGAAGCTGGTCCGGCGTTATGGGATTATCAACAGGGGGTAGGATTTACTCGAGGTTTTTGTTTTGCTTGAAAAAGAAGCCATTTATTTATCGTTATGTCTATATGTTCGAAAGTCATTGGATAAAAGCGCTTTCTATGGCACCAAAGTCAGCAATAAAGAAAACGTAATATTCGAGAAAAGATTGGCGCAATAGAAACAAAAGAGAACTGGAAATCCATATACGGTAGATTATGTGACATTCAATTTTAACTTTCATTCCGTGTCAATGGATATCAATACAACACGCATACATTTCGCAGGAGCAGACATGGGCTACGGACCTCTCCTGATGTCACTTGAGAGAAGCGAAGGCGTAGACTTCGGTGACACGCTGATGTTTTTTTAATTTCAAAGTCATGTCCGGCAGAGGAAGCCCCGAGATGAACCCCTGGGGCTTTCTGTACCCCCTTACCCCTTGTGTGGCTGGGCCTCTTTGCTGCCTTGGTGTGTGTGTGTGGTTGTCTTCGGTGCTGCTGCTTAACCATGCCTTGAGGTCCTCGTGGTTCGATCGGGTGGTTGGCCAGTTCACCATTCATATCCGCGTTCTCCTACGCCAAGGTAGATGTCCTTGTGGGATTCTTCACTATGTCACGAGAGGAAAAGAAAAAAGGCCGAGCACGTTTAGCTTTCTTATATAAGAGAGGAGACCTATTTTTCTGTTCACAGCTTGAACAGAAAAGTATTATATAAAAAAAAAAACGTGCTGATGTAATCTCTCTCTCTCTCTGCTAGTATAAGTGTATGTATGTCTGTGTCTACGTGCTTATGAAGGAGAATAAGGAAGAAATATATTTGTAAATATGTAGGTAAAGAAAAGGGGAAACGGAGAGAGAGAAAAAGAAAAAGTAAAAAAAAAGAATAGAAAGAAAATGGACGAAATGAATATAAACAGAAGACCAACCTAAGAACACATCCCCATTGCAGATCTACCCAAACGGTTTTCCCACGGGCGTGAAATGGCCTTGGTTGGCAGCTGGATGATGGTAACCATGATCGTCGTTATGGGCTACTCGAGCACCCTGGTCTCGCTCTTGGCCGCCAGGAACATCCCGCAGCCGATCCAGTCTCTGTCGGATCTTGTTCAGTCCGACAACGTTGTGATCCTGAAACCGAACAGCGGGTCGACGACTTACGTTCTTGTAAGTTGTTCTCCTGTGAGCGTACATGTGCATGATCTTTTTATTTCCGAATACGGTTTCTTTAAGAAGTAGAGGATTGTAGCCTTGACCGATTTGATTTGTTGATCCGTAAGAGCAAAAATACAATCTGCGTACATTTTTTTTCTTTTTGTTTCAGCCAAGCAGCATCAGCAAAATACCAGTCTCGCCTAATGTCTCCTCGTTACTGCGTTCCAGATACAGGAAAAAACACAGGATGAACAAATCTGAAGCTGCTCTCAGCTTTTCTTGTTCATATCATATTGACAGTACATCTGTTTACCTGTTGGTTTATTATCTATCAAAATCTATCTATTTACGTACCTATTTATTTGTCTATTTTCTTCTATCTATCTATAACTCTCTCTTTATCAATCATCTCATGTCTCTATCTACTATTAAACACACACACACAATCACAATGAACCCATCTCCCTACTCACACATATGCCTTCAAGTACAGTAACGTTACGTATTGAATTATTCTCGGGCCCACACTTTCACTTACAGCCAACTATGGGCTTTGGCGAAATGGCAGGCAATAGCTTAAGAATCCTTTTGACGACCTGCCTCTCCCGCAACAGAGCTCGACGTCGGGCATCTACAAAGAGCTGGGGGACCTGCGCCACAAGAACAGGATGGCTTTCATCAAGTCGAAGGACAGGGGCACGGCGATCGACACCCTGGTCCGCGAGGGTCATCACTCCTTGTATGACGTGGATTTCAGCTTAGCTAATCTCATATCGGATGACTTCTCCATAATGGGTAGACTGATTTCGGAAGTTGTGAAATAAATGACTTGAATGCGTGTGCTTTTGGGTTAACCGTGCGGGAAAACAACACATATTTTAGTAATGACGGATACAAAAACAAAAACCTTTGTGTCATTCTCATGCCAAGATCTGGATCTAAAACGAAGTGTAGTAATGTTCTGTAGGGGTTGTAGAGACAAAGAGGGACGGGGAAGAGAAAAAAAGATGGCTTGGTAAGTACTTCCAATATTTTATGTAGCGATGCACAGGACGTCTGTGCATAAAAATGACCAAGATTTCTCCCAGGGCGCTGCGATTTCTACCTGAGTCGCGAGTCCAGCCTGGCGAGTCCGGCGAGCGTGGGTGTGACCCCGGGGAGCCCCATCCTTCCGGTCCTCAACCACAGGTCAGTCGCAGGAGCATGA